GTATGAAACAAGAAGTAACAACAAAATGGGAATGTAAATATACTTTACTGACCATTTTGTCAAACAGATAATTTTGTCACAGTTTTTAAAAAAGGGTTTGATGTTAGGTCGTAGAATAACATTATAAGTTAATTTATCGATAGTATTAAGTAAAGTAAAGTTTTTTTGTACTTTAGTTTAGTTAGGACTAAACTTTACTGTACTTAATACTATCGATAAATAAACTTATAAGGTTACAGTGTTAATTTATCCCTTTATCGAACATAGACTTAACATAAGTTAAAGTTTTATAAAGCACGGCCTATATACAAGTGGATTTACACATTTCGTTGTCTACGATTACAATTCGTTTGTATTGAGCTAAAAATGTTATATTTAAAGAATTACTGTTACGATGAAGATACTAATTTGACCGGAAATGTTTTGCGGATCTCCGCTAGTTAATAATTATTCTATAGGAAAAAAAAAGCTGTTTCTTTCTAACGTTAAATCAATCAATATCATTTCCAGCAATTGTAAACTATAACTAGTATAACTAGTGTGTAATGAACCTATCAAGTAGCATACATTTACACAATTGTCAAAAAGAAAGTAGAAAATGAAATAGTTATTCATATATACATATATTTAACTCTCTAATCTCTATATCGCTTCCTAGAATACTATTTAACATTCATTTTGACATAGCCCTATTTATCTAATTTGTTTAAGAATAGCACCCTGACGATGTTTATTGAATATTATAAAAAAGAAAGAAAGAAAACGAACTGCGATATAATTTTATTTTAATCTTGAGCGCTGAGAGCTACTTGATGTAGGGCGGGATGACTAATAAAAAGAAGGCCGGTTCTTCTTCTATCTGTAGTTTATTTACCGTTTACACTCTGACCAGAGACACTGTTAACAGCGATGCTACCTACTGTAATTTTTAATAAATTACCACATTGTGCTCATAACATACTTTGTTTTAAGTCTCTTTACTACAGTCAGATGTAAGCGTAAGGGCTTCTAACTCTAAAAATGGGGGTTCCATCCCATAGAGCAGATAGCACACTGGTATAGCTTTGCGCTTAATGACAGAAACAAGCAAATCTTAACAATAATCTCTCGAACAAACCGTTAACAACTAACTTTGTCATAAATTTGTAAATCTTAGTATCTGTCAACAAATAGTATATCTTCACTTCTATGTAATTTAGTTTACTCTCTTTTGATTTCAATTCAGTTTGGTTGACTTAATACCGTAATACAAAAAAAAATAGTGCTAATTCATTCACTTTTGCGAAATTGGGGAGATATTAAGAGATAATTGATAGATTAAGTTTACTATGTATTTGCGTAATGATATATGAATGTATTATATTAATTGCGTCAGAGAGAATCACCCGTTTTTACTGACAAAACACGTGTTCTCTTCCTGCTAGAGGAATCCATGTAGGGTTGACGGAATTCGTTGTCGAAAATAGAGCAGGAAAGGATAAACTTACCTCTAAAAGTAGTTAGCGTTTCAGACTAACGGCTGTTTGAACTTAGAAGTTGATGGGCAATAGAAACATTAGAATATTTGATAGCTTTTGTGTTGGATGAAGAATTTTTCAATCTTCCGTCTGAAACCTCTGTGTTAGCCACGTTACAACAACGTTTAGAACTATCCAAGCTCTATACCCTGCAACGAATGGCAAACTCGAAGTAAATCTAACCAGGGACTCTCTGACATAGTTGTAGGTCGCGCTCTTGATCACGTGAGCGCGATGGGTAGTCTCTCAGTAAAGAGCATGGAGATGGGTGTGCATTGCACGAGCGAAGTATTGAAATACTCCGTTGCTGACAATTTCCCTGTTGTTTGATATCAGTGAACACGACCACGTGACCTGTGAGACAATGGTGGCCTCCAAAGTGAGCTACCAGAACCGGATACTGTTATTTCTGGCAAGAAAACAAGTAGAATTGAAAGTAAACATTGCTTGTATGATTCTAAACTGCAGGTGATGGAACTGAAAATGACAAGACTTCTTACATACAGCCAAAAAGTATGGAGAATGAATTTAGATAAAAACGAACAGGTGCAAATCGAACTTAAATAAAAGCTTTATATAACTCATGGTGACAATAAAGTTTACCTAAAAGATAAGATGTTTTAAAAGAAGCTGGAGTAAGGTATAAAACACGAAAGCAAACGCCCTTAGAATCACAAAATAATCATAGAAAATGAAGTATTTATATCATATTATGAATTTCACAAAATTAATTTACTCCTGCAGAGTTTTGATACAGACTGGATGAAATAGTTTAATGTTATGCCATGAGAGTAACAACAGCTAGTAATGCAACTTAAAGAAAGAAAGAAACGTAGTAGTACATATGTAACTCTTAGTGTCTTCATATACTACGATTAAAGTACACTCAGAAATCAATAGTTTGTAGGAAATGTCCGGAGAGACATAAACTTATAAAGAAGCCTTAATTTATTTCCGAATATACATATACATATATATATTTAAAGCTTTAGCTGTTGGTTTTGTTATATTCGATAAAAGAACAATACGTACTAACATCTCTCAAAAATGAAAACGTTATTGTTAGATCGAAATTGAAGTGAGTTTTTCTATTTTCAATCTCTCTGGGTGTGAGTTGGTTCTGTGATAGAGCTCTGGATTTAGGAGCTGAAAATCCGGTTTTGCATCCGTGCAGTATCACAAACAATTACCCTCACTTTAAGCTGAGGGTGCACTATAAGGAGACTGTTAGTCCCTTGGCGCGAATGGTTGGTGTCAGTGT